TGCTACCCTTTTCGATCAAGAACCTATTCATGTTGAGGGTATGATTTTTAAAATCAAAGTGATGGTCTATTCCATTTTGGGGAGACTCTGGCATACGTATTCCCTCATCTTTTGATGTATGTTATTGTTGTTCTTGGTGTTTATGTTGGCGTGTGTGCCTTGCTTTATGTTTGATTGTGTTGTTGCTTGTTGGACATTTGGTGATGTAGCCATTTTGTCTTTGTTCGGAATTGGCTTGTTGTCATTTCCACGCTCGGGTGTGCCCGTTCTATTTGTATATTCTACTTCTTTATTCTATTTACATTTTCATCAAAAAAAAAAAGAAAATGAAAAAGAATAAATTTTAGAAACAAGTTAAATAGAAAACTGAGAAATTAATCCTTAATTATTAGACATCGAAAAAATTATTTTTAAAATACATTGACAATGTCAATCTAATTCTACTTTTAAAATACATTTTTATTGCTACCTGTAATTTGAGTTTCTAAAGTTTTGATCTTTTATAAGGATGAGATATTTTAATAAAAATACTATCTCTTCTCTGTATTGATTTTACATAAATTAAATATTTATTCTAATGTATGTATGAACTAATTATTAAAATATTAAATCAATATTCTTATTTCACAAACAATAATCATAAAATAAAAAATATTATAACATTAAAATATGAATGATTATTCTAATATATAAATTAACTAATTTTATTTTATTAAAAAATAATTATAAAATAAAAAATATTGATTATATTATAATATGAATTATCATTACAATTTTCAAACGTTATTATAAACTCAAATCAAATTATTGATTTGAATTTTAAATCAAATCATAATTAATCAAATCAGATCCAATCAGATGAGACCAGATTAGATCCAATCAGATCAGATCAGATCCAATCAGATCAAATCAGATCCACTTAGATTAGATCAGATCAGATCAGATCCAATCAGATCAGATAAGATCCAATCAGATCAGATCAGACCTGATCAGATCAGATCAGAACTACAAAAAATCAGATCAGATCAGAAAAAATAACTTGAACGGAACAGAGCCTAACTAAGTCTATTTTACATATATACTAGTATTTCTACCTGTGCCACGCACGTGTTCGGACGAATTTTTTTATTCTACAAAGGTTAAAAATAAATGATCTTGGTTTGATGTATTTCTATAAATCTATAATTTTTCTCCCTGTATAAATTCAAAAATATATTAATACAAAAAGTATTAGTGATCCAATGATTCTTTTTCCTCACATTAATTTAAAAAACCTAAATTACCAACCTTATAATATATACTCCGTCCAGTTTTGACTTTTTTGTCAAAATTGGTAAATTTTGATCTCAAATTAAATCAAAATTGATATTAGATAATGATACAAATTTTTTTATTTGATTTATTATATCATTCATTTTCAAAATATTATTTTATCTACTTAATATATAATATATATGTTATTTAATTATAAGTCAAATGTTGAAAAGAATTAATTAAAAAAAGTCTAAACTGGACAAATATTCAGAGACGGAGGTAGTTATTAAAAAATAGGATTCTTCTCATCCATAATCCCAACCCCCCCTCGCAATGATTATAAAAAATTATTTTTCTTTCTTGCACTATTAAAAACAAAATCTTAAATTAGTGATCCTAAATCTCTATGATTAGAAATTTTAATTTTAAAATATTAAGAATCAATTATTCTTCTCCCTCACATTGATTTTAAAAAACATTAAAATGTTAGTGCTCCAATGATTTTGTCGGAATAGTCTTCTGGTCAAGATATAAAATATTAAGCATTATTATCTATGTAGTACATTATACTTCAGGTTTATTCATTCAGTATCCTCCGTATATGTTTGTTAAATGGATGTTCAGTGGATGAAATTTAGGTATTTTCAACATTTAAATGTGGAGTAATTTTTCAAAATGACCCTTTCGGATTTACCCTTTTCCAATTTAGGTCTCCGTTATAATAATTACGGAGTAAAATTTTATCCCAATTGTGCATTTAGGGGCACCTTAATGTTTTGTGTCCCTCTATTAGCCACCCATGTTCACGCTAGTAAATTTCGAATGAGGATGACCTCACCTTCGATCCCCCACTTCATATCTATGTAGAATTTTGATAAAATTCACATATGAAATATACGTGATTCATTTTTTTGCAAATATCATTTTGTAGTATTTATCTCATTCGGATATTTTTTTGTGTCTTTTTAAAAAGTAGTAGTTGTGATTTCAATGAAGACACAAATAAAATACCTATGATTATTTTAAAATGTTTTTGTAATTTTTCTTTGTAAAAACCCTTGCAACTATATTTGTTTTTCTGTTTAAAAATAAATTCATATCAAGTGAAAATTTTTTTTGATGTAAAATACATGTGATTATTCTTACGTGATAATTTTTTAAAACTTTATGTGAAAAATGTAACTATTATTTTTAAAAGTTGATTTTATAAATTTATACTATTATTTTAATTATTTTATAAGTTGATTTTATAAAATTTTTAATAAAAAATGAATTTTAGTTCTCGCTCAATTGCATAAAATTTCATGTAAGTTCTAATATCTTCACTAAGACTCCCTTTATGTTTGGATTTGATCTTCTCAATTGACTTTTCTGTTAGAATAAGTGAACAACGCTAGAGGGGGGGTGATCAATGCTAGAGGCGGGGTGAATAGCGTTTGATCGTAGAAATCGCAGGAATAAAAAATTAAGAACGTGAAAAGTAAAGAGCATAGAAAAAGTAAAGGGAGCACACCAAGATTTATACTGGTTCACCACAACGTGTGGCTAATCCAGTCTCCCGAGAGACTCTCTCGAGCTACACTACTTCCGTTAAGCTTACGGGTGCTTAACAAACCGTTACAACTTGAGAACTCGAGTCCCACGAGCCTCAACAACACTTGCTCGGAGATACCACACTCCAAGACTTCAACCCGAAGAAAAACACCTTTCCTTCGTACAACCAAGGGAAACAAACTTCCCTTAACGTCTATAAACACTAAGAACACTCAAGAACAAGGCTCTCTCAAAAGAGTGAATATGAGTAAAGTAATACGCTCAAGATCACAACACGGTCTTCACAAAAAGGGCTCTCGAAAAGCTATGAATAATGTATGAATGATATGCAATGAAAGAATAGGAGTTGTGAAGTAATGTGATATGTAAAGCAGACCTAAACACCCCATTTTATAGTGGAAAAATAGGCTCCAACGGATCAAAACATTTAAGGGGTGATTGGCTTGATTTGTGGGATTTGATTGAAATTGGATCTGCTGAAAATCATCGAGACATCGTTGTCCATGGCTTGGACATCGCTGTTCTAGGCTTAGTTTTTGAAAAATGGGAAGCAACGGTCAAGCCAACAGCGATGTCCAAACCCTCTACATCGCTGTTTTGGCTGTTGACTTCCAAACAAGGAAAGTTTTAGCCATAAATACCTTCCAACGGTCAGGTGCCTACATCGATGTTCATTACTTGAACATCGCTCTTCAGGCCTGACTTTGAAGGTTGAGGAATTGGCCTGACATCGCTGTTGCTCGTCAATAGCGCTGTCCAAAAACTTTCTACCAAGGCATTTATTTTTTTTGGCTTAGGTTGGACAGCGATGTAGGGAGGTCTACATCGCTATTCCACATGTTTCTCGAAACCCAACCTTAGCTTCAACAGCGATGTCTAAACACCAACACCGCTGTTGGAAGACTTAACGCCAAACCATGGTTTTCAGCTACCCATGCCAGACAACGCTGTTGGGTACGCCAACATCGCTGTTGGGCTGGTTTAGCCAGACCCATGGTTGGTTTAGTCATGCCGTTAACCGATGTCAAAAATGTAAGTTCTCTAAAATAGAAACCAAGTATTGAAAATATTTGTTTAATGCATTTTGCTAAGAAATCAAGTAAAACATCTTAAAAACCACGTCATTTAGATAAAAACCACGGCTAGCCAAGTTTGCGCCATTTCGCATGGTTTTCACTAAACGACCAAAAACGAAAGGTGGTTTTTGAAGCGTTTTTGTTGGAGAACTATTTAAATATGCCCAGAAGTAAAAACAAATCATAAAATGTTGAAAACCACTTGGTTGATTCGGACGCGAAAACCAACGCCGATAACCGAATGCCGAATGCCGGTTTCTGAAAGCCGAACGCCGGATGGCTTGGTTTTTGGTTTGGGCGAACACCAAGTGTTTTAGGATTGTTTAAAACTTTTGAAAAACATTTTTGAATATGCAAAAGATTATTTTAATGGAGTATCCTAGAGAGCAAAGTTTTGAAGTTTGTGCCGGTCTTGATCACATGAAGACCGACTCAATAAATTCTAAGTCTTTGTTCTTGGTTCTTGGTTCTTGGTTATCAATTCGTCATGCCATGTTCCTTCTCCTTTGATCTTCTCAGTTTTGTGTTGTTATCACGGCGGTTTGGCATTATCAAAACCTGTCATAAAACGAATACGGTTTAGTACGACATAGGCGTAATCCCGTGTTCCAACAATTTCCCCCTTTTTGATAATGGCAAACAAGACGGGGATATGCATGCTAAGAGATATTTGATTTTAAAAATATTGAAAGAGTTCCCCCTTAATTTGTGCTTAAAATAAGTAGGCGTTTTAAAATCAAATTCGTTTTAAAATCAAATGATCCCGTTTAGAGACGTTCCCCCTTAGTATATGCATAGCCCTTTTCCTCCCCCCTTTTGACATTAACAAAAAGATAAAAGATAACTTTTATTGATTGAATTGGGAAATATCAGAGTACAACAGAAGCATTTTAAAAAAAACATGATAATTAAAAGAAAAGAGATAGAAATTCTAGGGGCGTCCTATGCTTCGTCTTCCTCCACTTCGCCTCTGGTTTCTTCGTCGTCGTCGACGTCCATCTCATCACCGTCAACGGCGTCATTGAACTCATCCTCGTCCGGGGAGCTTGACGGGGCGTAGGAGCCATCCTCTTTGTCCTCGTCACCGTACACTTGCCCGAGGGATGTGCCTTGGTACGGTGGGGGGACGTAGTTGACGCATTGGAAGTACGCGTTCATGGCGTGCCCTTGGCGTTGAACAGCCTCATCGAGCCGATCAAGGTACCCGTCCATCCCGTCGACTTTGAAGTGTAGCCGGTTGAGGGAGTCGGCGATGGAGGCTAGGTTGGCCCGGGCCTGGGGTTCGGCTGGGCCAGTGGCAGTGCGGCGTGGCTCGGTAGTGGCAGGTCCAGCGTTGTCCGACCGCTTCTTGAAGGTTTGGGTGCTGATTGTCCAAATCTTCATGGCCTTCGTGAGCGGGCCAACAATGGTGGTGACCTTGAAGCGTTCAAAGATGTCCATCACCAAGAACGGGTGCGGGAGAAGGTGATCGTGGTCGGTGGACGCGGCGATCAGCATGTAGATCATGACAAACTTTGCCCAATTGATTAGCGCCGAGTGCATGATCGCATGGAGGAGCTTGAGGTCCTCACCGGACATGATCGTGTGCCCATGCTTCCGGGGCTTGATGATCCGGGACACGATGTAGAGGAGGAGGCGGCTCTCGGGGGTCGCGAAGTGGATGGTGGGGCGGCCCGTGGCGTGGCGGATGAGCTTGGTGATGCCAAGCTCGTTGAGGACAAGGCTCTCGTTGTTGAGAACCCAATCCTCTCCGCCATAGTTGGAGATGTCGTCGCCTTGGTAAGGGAGGCCGGCGATGCGCCCAAGCTGCTCAATGGTGAGCTCAATCGGCGTGCTCTTGACCAAAGAGTAGAGCACGTCGTCCTCACGTTGGAGGTTGGAGTAGAAGACCCGAATCAGTGCCGGGTTGATCTCCTTCCGAGCCCGGGAGATGAACGACCAAAGACCTGTTTGGTGAAGCTCTGCGTCGAGGTCGTCGTAGCCCTGCAACTCCGGGAAGCGCTCCGGGACGATCCGTGGGGGAGTCACAACCCGTTTAGAGTAGAAGGTGAAAAAATGGGCGCGCTCCTCCTCGGAATCGAACCAGAGATACGACCCGTCGCCGTAGTAGAGGCGCTCCTTGGAGTTTGTTGCCGGTGCCCGGGATTTTGACTTTGATTTCCCAGAGGTGGCAGCCCTGCTCTTGTCTTTGCCCATGGTGATGAAGAGATCTCAAAAAAATGTAGAGAAGATGAAATATGCAACGATATTGAAGAGAATTGTGTTTGTGTGTGTAAAAGTGAAGAGAGGGGGTCCCAATATATAGAAGAGGAGGTTCCCAACGTCTAGAATTTCAAAAATATGGTTGTTGGAGCAATTAATGCAGTTGCCAACGGTTATTTTTTTTGAAAAATTCAACGTGAACAGCGATATTCTAAAGACGACATCGCTGTTCGGACAGCGCTGTTCTGCGTTAAGTTTTAAAAAATCAGGTGTCAAAAGGACATCGATGTTGGGTTCCCTACAGCGATGTTCCAAATCATTCTGGGATTGTGTGAGGGTTTGAACCCATTGGAACAGCGCTGTTAGGTATCTCTACAACGCTGTTTTACGATAAAAAAATTTGTACAAATAGACAGCGATGTTGCAATGGTGGACATCGCTGTTGAAAAACATTATGGTTTTGCTTGAAAACATGGTGTTTAGGGAGACAACGATGTTTAGATATGATACATCGATGTTCATAAAGTTTCTAGAAAGCAAAGAATAGGAAGACTCCTTGTGACAGCGCTGTTGGGGTGTTGTACAGCGCTGTTGGCTCAATTTGGTTGACGGTGTTTTCTTCAACAGCGCTGTTTGTCGCCTGGACAGCGCTGTTTGCATGGTTTCCCCTGATTTTGTGAATGGGGTACCTGCAAAAAAGAACAACACTTTGGTACCCAAAGTATGTCTATGGGTCCTTGGGGGTTAGTTGACCTTTATTGCCCACACACACACACCAAAAATTTGTTTCCTTACGCGCACGCGCGCACACACACGATTAGATGATCGTTTAGGAATTACCTTGGCCAACCCGTCGTCTCGTGGTTGGCGGGTTCTAGTCTACCTGAACGGAGTGCCGATATCTCGGTGTGGACTGTGTCGGTTCCGGTAACGGAATGTGGACTTTCTTCTTTTCGTCAAAGTAGAAGAAATAATACGGTTTCTTTTGTGCGTTTTCCTGTGGAGATTGCCTATGATACGAATATCCTTTTCTAAAGGGTTTCTTTTCGTTAGCGCCAAAGATGTTGTGTGTTTCATTATAGGTGGAGTGCCTATGTCTGGTAAAACACACGAGAGCTATATGGCCTATCCTATTACAATAATGGCAAACTACGTTGGGATTGTGCATGTGCCTAGGTTCATAATAGTTAGAGGGTCTAACCATATTGTTTCTATTTTCTGAAAAAGATGGTCTTTGAAAGTTTTTAAATTGGTCTTTTTTAGGTGCTCTATAATTATTTCTTCTATTTTGAGAAAAATCGGTTTTATGCACAAAACATTTTTCTTAGGTTGTCTACCATGAACATTTTCATTCCTAGGTTTTAGTCTAGGTTGTCTAGTGTCCTTAGGTTGACTAGGTTTTCTATTATTCTGATTTTTAAGTTTCTTACGTTGAGCCTTAGGTGGTTGTCTAGGTGGTTTCTCAACGCTTTCTTTATCCTTGGCTCCATTAAAACCTATTCCTTCTTTAGAAAAATACATGTTGTCAAGGAGTAAATGTAACGCCACAAAATAAGGCCTAAAATTTATTATAAAACAAAAGTAGTTTTTCAATATCATTTTGGTCCAATAAAGAATATTTTTACGTTTGACCAAAAATGAAGGGATTTTCAAAATAATGACTTTTCGTTAAAAACTTATTATTATGGATATGTCTCGAATAGACGAATCCAACGGTACATTTTATGAACCAATCTGATTTATAGATTTCAAGCTATGACGATTTTAAATATTAAAATTTGTAACTTTGACCCATAAATTAAACTCAATTCAAAAGAGATATCATAAGATTAGAAATCTTAATTTTTGACACTTGACAACACCATATTTATCATTTGAGTTTAATTCATATATTTTTATATCATTCATATTATTATATTAATTTATGACTGAGACAGACCCAGACACTAGGAAAAATAAAAGTTCTCAGAAAAATATTTTAATTACATCAAAATTCTAGTTTTGACAGTCTCATTCCAAAAACGCAACCCGTTTCTGATTCGGAGCAGTTTGGGCGAAAAAGCGCGTACCATTTTAGCCAGTTTATCAGTTACGGAGTAGGAGAATATTTTAATTCTCCAAAAGTCTTCAATTACGCAGCCCATATCTCTCCTCAAATCTTCAATTAGCCACCCAAATCACTAACTCCTCAATTACCATATAATACTCCAAAACTCTCCTCCATTTTGTCAAACTTCCACTTCACCACACATCTCCTAAACTCTCCCATCTCTCTCTCTCTGTCGGCCATAACAAGGAAGGGAGAAAACCAAGAAAAACTCCATGAATTCTTGGTGCTAAAGAAGAAGAAAACACAGCCCCTCCTCCATAGTTGGTTCAAGGAAAAAGAAGAAGCAAGAAACCATCCAAAGTTTCCAAAATTTCAAGCTAAAAAACGCAGCAGCCACTTTAAGGTAAAAACTAAAATTTCCCATCCATTATCTCGAAATATTTTCTGAACCAAAGTTGTAGCCCCGGACGATACGAATCCAGCCCAACAAACGGCTCGCGATTTTGTTAAGTAACGAAGGAGATATGGCCAAAATACCGGGACTGCGCCAGTGGTGGCGAGCTCCTCGGGTTGGCTATGTTTCCTCACCATATCCATGTTGTTTCATTCCAAACACTTACCATAAACTCTCTAAAAATTGTTAGGAACATCCGGAAGGTATCGTAGAGAAGGTTCGGTGTTGGAATATTGAAGTAAATGAGTTAATCGTCGGAACCGTTGTTCACCGGAGTATTCAAATTTCTGGACAGCAACTATCCTTTGACTTCAGGTCCGATTTACGCTATTTTACATCTGTTAACTAAAAATACTTTCTATACGAAAGTTATAGCCTTACATCTTAGGCATCCACAGAATCAAACGGTTTGCAATTCCGTGAAGAAACAATGAAGATATGCCCAAAATACGGCAGGCTGTCCAATTGTGACGAGAATGACAAAGTTGGTGAATTTCGATGTTGTTTCTACTCCCGCTCATCCGTAAGGTTTCAGCCGATAATTTCCAGGTCTGTACCTTTGCGTTAGACTTGTCGAATCATTCATCACATATGTACATGAACATATATGTTAATCCATATGTTGAAACTATCTCCAAAATGTATATGTGATACATATATAAGTCATCTATATGTTGAGATCAAAATACACCAAATCCATAAAGTTAATATATACATAAGTAAATATAAACTTTGGAAATCAACCAAATAATATGTATATGTTAATCAAAGGTGTTTAAAAGACTTAAAGAAGTATTTTGGACACTCAAAATATCAAGACTAAGACTCGAAGACCCAAACGGTCGACGCAAACGGTCGACCGTCGTGTTAAAACTTCGAAACAGACCACGATTGTCAGCAGAACGGTCGACCGCCGCCAGCCTAGCCGAAGGCCGTCATCTCCAGCCAGTCAACAATGGTCAACCGACGGTCAACCGCGGTCAACCATCACGGTGATCCGGTAATCCAACGTAATGAAGAACAAGTTCGACCGCCGTGCCAAACGGTCGACCTTTTCGAGCCTAGTAGCTTGATTAAATGATATTTTAATCATGTTTCAACCAAATAAACTTATGCATGATCATATATTCATATTGTTTGCAAATTGTTCACATCATATCATTCATTTCATCATTCATATTGAAGCATATCACATCATATGCATGCGTAAGAGATCATGCCTCGTGCGTCTCTTATAGCGTGATTGTGCGGGACTTAGCAGCCCGACATCACTGACCGGGCTTAGTGTACGTACATGGTATTCAGGCTTTCGAGTACCACCCCCATATTATTTCTAGTCTCACCTCATTCGTGAGACTAAGGTGGCATGAGTTCGTCGTACCAAATGGGCGAATCTCATAGTGCAAGGGTCGTCCTTGCGGGTTATAGGATCATGCATCATGTTATCATCATCAAGTACATTGATTACATAGGTGTCATGTAATCATCACCAAGAACAATTATATTAATTACATAGGTGTCATGTAATTATCACCAAGAACAATCAAATTGATTTAATGTGCCATCATGTCATTATCAGTAAATATTTATCATCATGAATCATCAAATTGAACATATGATATAATGTGCCATATCATGAATATTATTATACACCTTGTGGACGTGTATATATGTATATGTCTGTGAATTATTCTACAATTCTAGCGTGGTACCACTCAGCGGTTTCGCTGAGCGTGTAGTTTGTATTTTTCGTTGACTACACGTAGGTAACAAGAAGACAAGAATGGAACAATTCCCGGAGGGCATTGAGTCAGAGGAGATGCAAGGATGGCAGGCAACTATTTGATCATCAAGATTTTAAATGTGTCATGATTTGATTATTATTGTACTTCCGCATTACTCCAAAAATATTTTTAAACGGGTCGCGATCCAGAGTCTGTAAATTTAATATTTATAAGTAATTTTCATTTTCAAATGCCAAGCGAAATTTTTAATTAACCCTCGTTTCACCTTAATTCGTGTAATTCCGGGTTATACGGATTGGGGTGTTATAGTAAATTAAGATCTTTGTGCGGAGTATTAAATTTCTTAACCGTACTCTCAAGTTTTGTGACTTGTTCCTTTAAAGCTTTACAAGATTCACATTCGTTTGAGGAACTTTCCGGTTTGTCGGCGCTTCTTTTGCCATAAAATTTATTTTCTTGTTTTAATTTCTCATTATCTTTTTCCAGATTTTCAAAATCATTTTCAAGAGTGTGTTAGAATAAAGGCCCAACGCTAGAGGGGGTGGTGAATAGCGTTTAAAATAAAATCAAAGGAAATTAAAAAGAAGAGGGCGTTAAGTAAAGAGCGTAAGGAAGGAACACACCGAATTTTATCCTGGTTCACCACAACGTGTGGCTAATCCAGCCCCCTGAGAGACTCTCTCGAGCTACACTAACTCCGTTAAGCTTAAGGGTGCTTAACAAACCGATACAACTTGAGAACCCGAGTCACACGAGCCTCAACACCTTTGCTCGGAGATACCACACTCCAAGACTTCTCACGAAGGAACAAGGAACTTCCTTCGAGTTTACAACAAGGGAACAACCTCCCTTAAAGTGTATGAAAACACTTAAACACTCAGGAATAAAACTCTCATAAAGAGTAGATATGAGTGAACTAGTAAACGCTCAAGAACACGACAATTTCTTCAAGAATTGGCTCTCAAATAGCTAAGAAAAGATAGGAATGCTTATGCAATGAAAGAGTATTGAAATGTTGAAGAATTGTGTGTAAAATGAGAGGATTTGGGTGCCATTTTATAG